AATCTACCATAATGAATCCTACTTATCTACCGCATCACGGCGTATTGCACGAATCTAGTCTTACAACGAAGTTACGCGTAGTGTTCGATGGGTCGGTCAGAACTACGGCGGGAATCTCACTAAACGATACTTTAATGATCGGAGCGCGATTACAAGACAATTTAATTGATATCATGTTACGATTTAGATTGCATGCCATTGCAATCACAGCCGATTTGAAAAAAATGTATAGACAAATTTTGGTTCACGAAGCCGATAGAGATTATCAAAGGATTCTGTGGCGGTCGTCGGTGGGCGAACCTATACGAGAATTTCGATTAAACACCGTAACATACGGATTATCGTGTGCCCCGTTTTTGGCCGTGCGTTGCGTGAGACATTTGGCAAGTAACGCGGACGATCGATTGATGCAAGCGTCTCAAGTCTTACTCAATGATTTATACGTGGATGATATATTAACCGGTGTTAGTTCAATTGACGAGGCAACCGATTTGATTAAGCAATTAAAGGAATTGTTAAATGATGGAGGATTTGAACCACATAAGTGGCGATCAAATTATAAAGAAATTTTACATGAATTACACTCTAGTGAACGGATCGAAGAATCGTTAACTGTCGCGAGCGATGTAAATGAGACACATATAAAAACATTGGGTTTGACTTGGCATCCCGAGCGAGACGTGTTTGAGTTTTCTGTCAATTCCATAACAAGGGCGAGTAAAACGAAAAGAGAGGTTCTATCTGCAATATCGCGGTTGTTCGATCCATTGGGATTGATAAGCCCTATACTAATTAGAGCAAAATTAATTATGCAAGGAACTTGGGCCGCAAATTTGAAATGGGACGATTTACTAACCGACAAGCTTCATAGGGCATGGATTGAATACACTGATGATTTAAATGATATTAATACGATCCAAGTTCCTCGTAGAATCATTGCGAGTGCGAGTGCGAGACGATTCTATTTACAGGGGTTTTGCGACGCCTCAATGAAAGCGTACGGTGCGTGCGTATACCTGCAAACGATGGACAACCATAACAAGGGTAGATCTATATTAATTTGCTCGAAATCTCGAGTCGCACCGATCAAAAGCAAGACAACGACCCTGCCGAGACTTGAGCTTTGCGGCGCTGTTGTTTTAGTACGATTGTTGAAGCATGTTTGCGAGGCGCTTAAAATTGAAGTCAGCGGAATGTATGCATGGAGCGATTCAATGATTGTGTTGGCATGGATAGCGGGCGATCCGTCTCGCCAAAAAACTTTTGTTGCGAATCGAGTCGCTGAGATTCAAACGATTGTCGCGTCAAGTAATTGGTATCATGTCAAGAGTGAGCACAATCCTGCCGATCTGATTTCACGAGGTACAAGTTTACGAGAATTAAAGGAGTCAAGTCTTTGGTGGGAAGGTCCTAAAATTTTGTCAGAATTTTTTGAGAATATAAAGGGATTAAATCGATTGCTAACTTGTTCACAAACGGAAACAGAATTTATTGAATCAGAGCAAAAGAAGGAAATCCAAGTCTTTTTAATAGTTGACTCAAAGCAATTAATTTTACAATTGTAACGAAGTCCAGCTCCTCCCGGTTCCGGACAGGATTCCGGCAGGAATTATTTTCAATCGGACACGCGGTTCCGATTGACGGTCGGAGGAGCTAGCGTTCTCGCGGTCGGTATTTTGACGTGCTGTGTGAACGGTTCGAGTGAATGGATCCTCCGTTCCTCCTGTTGCCGAATATGCTCAGCTCCAGGGCCGTCGGGAGGAAAGGAGGCAAGGTAGATTTTAATTCGTAGATAGAGTCAATCGCTTGGAAGGGATTCGGAATAAGTCTTACAGGTGTTTTCGGTTTAACAATAGGAACAAGGTTTTATTCGAAGGATATAATACATAGGAATCGAGGTAGTTACAATAGGTACGCCCTATAGGTAAATACAGAAGAAAGAGAGGATTAGTAAATACAAGAGTCCGCCCTGTAGGTAAATATAAAGAAAAGGAATATGATTAGACGGATGGTAGTATGGAAAATACGCAATGATCGGAACACGGAAAATAATACGCAATGATCTGGTTTTGACAATAAGATACGAGAAATACGGAATTTAATCGGAGTACGGAAAATAATCAGTACAA